TGTGACTGTTACTGCTTTGGGCACATCATGAGAAGGCAAAACTCACTGGAGAAGATTGTAATGCAAGGGAAGGTTGAAGGCAGAAGAAGATGAAGACTACCTTGATTTTACAAGCCTTGATTTTGCAAGAGCTGAGCAGGGGTCTCAAATATAGGACATTTTGGATGGCATTCTTTCATTAGGTCACTGTTGATCAGAGATGACATGATAGCATATAACAACTGATGTTAGTAATGCTTTGCCTCTTGCTTCATTATTTTTCCCAGTTTCATAAATCCTTTGGAAAGACATACTTGGCCCTATTAACATTTCTATTCTCCAACTACAAAACCTTCTTTCCACATACTAAAGCCTTGCTCTTAGTTGTGATGCATGACTTTGGCTAAGGCTTTTCTTTCTTTCTTTTAAGATGTGGTTTTGACCTTGTGTTGCTATGAGTCTCTTGCATGGGGAAAACTGAAAAGTGTTCTGTGTGTATTAGTGAGTGCATTTTTGGGAAGGTGCGTGGCAGGCACCCTAGAGCCACTTCAGTCATGGCAAAGAGGCTTAAACACTGCTTCCATTCTGGCCTCCTTCTTGGTCCTTATGGATTCTTTCTCCCTGCAAGAGAGAAAGGCTAACAAGCAACTGCTTATTCTTCCTATCCAGGCTTGCTTCTTATCCACATTCAACATCCTTAGTGTTGCAACCATCACAGCCTCCCAGGAGTTCTTCGTGGAGTTGCATTCCTGTTTCTGTGGCATTTCGGCTGCAGCTCACTCTCTTGCTTAATTGCACAGCTCCTTAAATGTTTATGCATTTCTTCTGTACCAGGGGTGTTTTGTTTTTCTTGTCCTCCAAATTGATGGGAGTAAGAGTGGGCATTTGGACTGGCTGTCCACAAGAGACATGGGTACAATCCTGGACAGGGTGAATGCTGCTAAAGGAAAGTTTCTTCAGCTGATGTTCTTTTCATGAGTGGTTTTTACTGATTTCTTCAAATATGTCACTTCTGGCCCTCAACAGCTCTAGAATATATATTTTTTAAAAAAATCATTTGCGTTTGAAACTTCTGTTACAATAAACGAGTTAACTTCAATGTGATTTCAACTGCTTGTTTGCTTTTTCCCCTCCAGCATACCCTCTGTAATATCAAACACCTTATTTTGTTTATGTAGGTTTCACTAGTGGCAGAACACAGTTTATCCAGATGCCTTCAATTATAGGACTTCCTGTCAGATGTAGAATCCCTAGGCTCAGACCAAGCATGTGATCAAGTTCTGCGATATCAAATTATGCCAGCTGCTTGCTGTGTGCTGCTTTGCTTGAAGAAAGCTATTCTAAATGTTTCTTTCAAATTAAAATCAGTTATCCAATAGGAGGATTATTCACAAACAGTGGATAAACATGAACAGTTCCAGGTGAAATTTCCAGGAAAACAGGAACATAGTACCACCACATCTGACAGGGTGTCCCATTGTTTGATTCATGAATTACCAGAGCAACGTATTGTGATATTTCAGCCAATATGAGATCATTCTCTTTTCTTAAAATAAGTATATTTTTCAAAGAATTTATGTTGTGGGAGGAAAGGGACTAAATAATTATTGTAAAGATCTATTTTATGTTAGGCAACACAGTTACAAAGTCAAAGGGTCTGCAGTTTCAGAGGTGTAACTTACTTCCCAGCCATTATTTCTGTTCACTAGTCAGCTACCTCCTTCTTGAAGTCTTGTGACAAATGTAGAGAACTCTGCAGAGGGACTGTTTTTTCTGTCATCCTTGATGCTGCTTGATGTGAAAGCCCAGCAGGGAGGAAAAGATGTCTTCTCTTCAGCTGATATTGCCATGACCAGGACAAACATGTTCCTGCTATTGGCAAATAGAGTATTTTATTTATGAAAGCATGCTCATTTTGCACAGCTGTATTGTATAGTGTTTACTTATAGACTGAAGAATGTAGCAATTTAGACACCTAAACACAGAAGACACGCTTTTGCTAGCTTTTGCTATATATTTGCAATGTAAGGGTCCATAGAAATGTAACATGATGCCTTGCGGTTGGAAATCTTTTACAGGATTGCAAGCTTTGTTTCCTGATACCTTCAGCATGAATTCCTCTTACCTCCCTTTAGTGTGACTGGCTGTTGGATGCCCATCACTAACCTCAGCTAAAGAACATTGAAAACTCTAATTCAGAACCCATATTTAAAGGCTTTGAAGATTACATATGCCCATTCTGAATGAAACGTGATTTTTTTTCTCGCTTGTTCAGTTGCCTACTTTTCTCTGCCAATATGCTCTATGGAACAGCACATTACACTGAGTTGTTTGAATGTTGGGTGCCCTTAAAGATATGCTACTAGGGTAGGATACACAATTTTAAACACATTTTCTCAAACAAGAAAATGATGAGTTAAAACTAGACTTGCATAATTATATCAGAATTCAGCTAGGGAAAGCATAGTTTTGTTCACCTTGGTTAGTATAGGAGATATTATAGTGAAAGTTTTATTCTTTGGAGGTTAGGTTCTGTTTCTAATCTCTTCATCACAGGGATCTGGCACCTATTCAAACTGAAGTATGAAGGTAACTGTATTGTGGTTCTTGATCAAGCTATGATAAAAATAAAGTATAGTTGTTTACTATGAAGAAAATTAAAATCCCAAACTGGCTTAATTGATTATTATTTATTGCTACCAAAGTTATGAAAGTGTAAATGAATATCATTGAATAATTGAGAAATTATTTTTGCCACTTACCCTGTATGCTTTTACTGAGGTGTGAGAGGTATGCCTATTAAATCTGGCTCCTGTTAGGTCGAGGAGTAAGGAATCAGACACATAATGGCATCAGAAAAGTAGGCCTCTATTTACGCAAGATACTTTATTGGCTTCAAGGTACATTTGTTTGTACAAGTGGTGAATTAGCCATCTCTGAGCTCAAGCATAGCACTGGAGCTGAATGATCTCTGTGGTACTGGAATATGTCATCTTGTTTTGTTACTGTTTTTGAGGTGAGCTGTTCTTTTCAATTATGGGGCTAAACATAGCCTAACAATCATAACTTCCCTTAGAACAATGTGATTCAGAAACTAGAAATTATACATGGACACATAGCAAGAGGCCAAATTGTTTGGGTCAGTTGCAGTGGCCTGTAGATTTGTACTGGTGCTAGTTGAAATTAAAATGTAATGCAATAATGGAAATTAATTGTTGAAATTAAAATGTAATGCAAGTGGTGCAATAATGCAGAAAGAAATTTATCCTGTTCCTGGTTCAGTGTATTTTATGAAGGAAATGCATGACCAGTAAGGCATATAGTATGCAGGAATGCTCAGTGGAAAACCCATTGGACATACCATATTTCTAGAAGAAGCTATGGGGCTTAGCTTAAGTTGGCCCATAAACTTTTTTGATTACATAGTTTACCCTGGGAAGTGGAAAATAAGCCAGTATGCCTGAAATACATTTTCTTCATCATTGTGGAACCACAAGGCTTCTGCTTTGACTTACTTGTGGCACAGGCACCTCTTCCTTTAGAACTGAATTCTTGAAAATAAATGTGAAGTTGGAGTACTTGAGATGCTTCATGTGTATATTGATGATCACTTACAGTTGCAGAGTTAGTTCATGGCTCCATCTAGCTCAGTATTATCTTAGCCTTTGTCAAACTTGTTCCCTCCAGATTTTTGTGGGGGGGGGTCTACTGTTTACACCTGCCCCAGCCACCATTGCCAAAGGTCAGAAGTTAAGAAAATTGTAGCCCAAAACATCAGAGGCTGCTAGATTGTCTACACCTGAACAATAACCTTCCTCTCTAATATCCATTTTTCAAGAAAGTTTTTTTGTTTGTTTTGTGAAAATAAACAAATGTCTCATGTGAGCATGGGCTCTGATGAGCTACAATCTAGAATCACGCTTCCTGCTTCATCTCCTGTGTGTGAGAACCTAGTAGTGATCCAAGGTCACATGAATGAACTTTTGCTCGCATAATAAAGCTTTCCTCCCCCCCCCCTTCACTGGACTGGATTTTGAGGGTACACGGAGAGCTGTAGGGGGATTGGAAATTGTTCCTTTCCAGTTCTGCTGGTATTCTTCCATTCTATTGATAGAAGCACCTAATTAAACTATGTTAATATTTTATTGAGGGGTTCCCAGCCTTAGAGGCCTCAGGAGAAAAATTTACATAGAACATGATTTCAGTTATATTAATTATTAGCTGGGCATTTGAAAACACAGACCTAAAGGAGAGAAACAGGATGTACAGGTTGATTTGGCTTCTTTTTTGAATTATACCAAATCAGTTTCCAAATAAAAAGGAACAGAAAGGATTTGTCAGTGTGTCCCTTACAATAATTTCATTTCCAAATAAAATAAAAAATCATGATTTAAATATACTTTATTTTTCAAACAAAAAATCTCCAGAAAGCATTCATGGCAGAGTTAGGACTTGAAAACCATCTAGATTACTGTTCAGGCTACAGATCCAGACAAGAGAATGATTTTTAAAAAATTTAACTTGGCATTAACAGAAAATTGGCTCTGTTGCCAAAATCCAGGAGCTCTTTTTTAAACAGAGAAAACTATAAACTGATTCAGCATGCATGAAATTGTTGTAGAAAATGCAGTGCATAATGGATAGTGCTGGAAACACTTGCATGTTTTTTACTGTTGAATTTGTGTGTGTGTGTGTATCGCCTTCAGTGAAGATTTACCTCCCTGAACTTGAAGATTGATCCCAGCAGGGCCAGCATATTTAACGTTTTACAACAATGTGAGAAGTGCTGTGAAGAATATGGACATGCAGATTCTTTATATTTTACCTATAGTATTGCATAGGGCAGACAGATCACTTTATAGAACTAAAGGCAACAGTTGTATTACATGCAGCTTCACATTAGGTCTGAGTAAGTTTGAAAAGTGCACACTATGTCTTAATTTGGCTTTTTACTTTGTAACAAATCTTGGGAATTTAGCAGAATCTCAGTCGCTCCTCTTCTGTCTTTGTTTGTTTTCCAGAGTAAGGAAATTGGCCTTCAGATGCATGAAGAACTCTTGAAAGTTACCAATGAACTCTACACTGTGAGTAAATTGACTCTCTTGTATGTGATGCACGTTTCTGGAATAAATTCAAGTAGTTTTACAGTTTCTTAGTGCAGAGTTAGCAATACCCTTTTTGAAAATGTCCAGATTAATTTCATTTGCTCTAGATTAGTTAAAGGGAAATGAGTCCATCATTTGTGCCACAGTTACCATTTTTAGAATGTGACCCTGCCCAAGTTGTATATATTCCGTCTCTGTTGTTTATCTGATGTACTTCTTGCTTTGGTTTACATTTAGCACAAAACAGTGGTTTTGTTCATTCTGTGTTCATGTGTGTTTTGGATTGCCATCCAGAACTGGATTCATCCATCACATGGTGCATGTCTCCTTGGACAATGGGACATCCTCCTCCTCCCTCCTGCATCCTCCCTCAAATCTGGAAGGACCCTTGGTTTGAAGGGCTTGCTTAAACCATGGTTTAACCTGTTCAGGTGTAACTGGGAACTATGGTTTTTGCAAAAATAGAACACATTAAAATGAAAAATGCAAGGAGCATGTGATCACAGGGCTTGTTCATATAATGCCATATTTAGCAAAAGTAGCTGTTAAACTATGTAATTTCCTCTAAAAGCAAGGCTTGTTTGTGCTTTGTCTTCCTTTTCTTTTTTTGACTTAATTGTCTAGCTGCATCTATCACTGGGTAAAGTCTCTTTCCAGGGATATTTTCTGATATTTGCTTCATGTACAAATTTGGTAGCTGTTCCAATATGTACTTAATTTAATGTTCCAATAAATGTTGCATAATATCCTAGGATTCAAATCCCATTCTCCTAGAGCTTCCAAGAAAAGACTAAGGAACTGAGGAGTGTGATTTAAAATCTTGTCCAAAATATACCTATTGCATGTGATGAACATCTAACGTAGTGGTGTGACAAATGCTATACAGATGACATATTTACTTGCTTACACCATAGGATAAATTTGAGGGTTTATTCTGCTTCTTTTCAGGATGCTCTGTTCTTCTATTTTGGCACATTATATAGAATTTCTGCTATCTACAGCTGGTTTTGTTAATGATATAGCCTACAGAAGGAATTCTACATAAGAAATATTTTGTTTTAACAAATGATTCTTAGATATTAAGAAGGACATAGGACTTCATCTTGTACAAAGAAAAAAGCTATTTATTTTTAAATTGTTATTTGATTCTACTCCTGGTCTTTTTCAGAAGCAAGGGGAGATTCAGAGAGTTAAGACTGGAATAAGCAACCTGTTGGCTCCCAGATGTTTTAGCTGCAACTCAGCTTATAAAAGTTGTAGTCCCAAATATCTAGCATGTATTCAATTGTCTATCCCTGGTTTAGACTCTGCAGAGTTTAGGTTCCTATGTTGTAAATCTCTGCTTACAGTTGTCCTGACAGTCTGATGATGAGAAATTGCTGCAATCAATGAACCATTATGCTGCAAGACAATACAATATAATGGCTCTCAATACATTAGGACTAGACAAGGTATTTTATACATCTCTTAGCAATGGATATGCTGATTCTATGTGAGTCTAAATTTTAGATTTCATTCTAGATCTTATACAAGAGAGCCATTAAACTAGCTGCTGGTAGAGAGAAGGCATTTCTTGGTTTGATCAGAAACAATGCAGATAATCATAGTGCTTGTGGGCTGCAAGCTTACCTTTAGTTTGCTTCTTATTGCTGCTACATTATTTCATTAGATAATTACAGATGTAAATGCAGTAGTAATTTCTTTTTGAAAAAAAAATTTTTTTACAGTATTGCCAGGGAAGGGAAAAAGAGAATGTAGAGTTTATGGTAGGACGATCCTGTAGGTCAAAGAATTTTCACTATTTTGTGTTCTGATCATAGTCTGCTTGTTGTTAATACAGAATCATAGGATAGGAGGGTTGGAAGGAGTCAGAGGGCCATTGGGTCCAACCCCTTTCTCAGTGCAGGACTCCAAGTTAAATCAACCTTCTCAGATGGCTGTCCAGTTGCATCTTGAATGTCTCTACTGGCAAAACCCACATCCTCATGAGATAATTGGTTCCATTATCCATTGTAGGTGTCAGATAGCGCAATTGCCCTGGCATTAGCTTAGCACTGTTGTTTGTGTGCATCTTTTACTAAACAGTTTTTCTTTAGCTATGGAAGGAGAAAGATAGTAATCAGACATGGTCACTAAGTCACTTGAAAAAGAAGGTATTCTTTTAGAAATCAGTGAGACTGGAAGGTTGATGTCCTAGAATGTCCATGGAGATTCTGTTGTTGTTGTTTTATAGGCCAATAGAGCAGTTATAATAGGCTGCTATAGTATCAGGCTTGAGTCTCAGAGGCCAGACTGTAGATTTAAGGAAATAGACAACTTAAATATGAGATTTGTTCATAAACAATGCTCTTACTAGTTCCATATAAAACCTTTTTATTTAATGGCTATTTTAAAAATTAATTTTATCGTTAACAGTTGCTTTTTTGTTTTTTGTTTTTATATAATTTTACTGTACTTATTGCTGTTTTATTGTTTTAATTCTACATTGTAAGCCGTCCCAAGATGCCGAGGCATGTGATGACAACATATAAAAGTTTTAAATAAATAAATATTGTATAGAACATTGAGCAATATAGGGACAGAACACAAAAAGTGCTTAATTAGCTGTGGCTTCTTGCCTCACAGAGAGACAGTGTGGCGTGGTGAAAGCCAGTGTGTTGTGTGCTACTTAAAATGTAGGATTGAAACTTAGCAAATCTAGGTTCTAGTTATTTATTTATTATATTTATATGCTGCTCTGTAGCCTGAAGGGCTCTCTGGGTGACTTACAATAAAAGCATGGACAGGCAACAATAAAACAAAACAAAAGAGAATAAAATCGAGAGTTCAAGGATAAAATCCATTAAAAATATAAAATCAGGTATTCATAACAGAAGAGCATAGTGAGCAAGCAGCGATAAGTTAACAGAACAGAACCAAATTGGCCACTAAAACCGTGTCTTTACTTGTAGTGAAAGGTGAATAGTGATGGCACTTCCTTAGGGAGGGCATCCATAAGTGGGTCTGCAGTCACGGAGAAGGCCCTTCTAGCAGTTTCCTCATTCAATTCACTGGGGGGGGGGTAGCTCTTGAAGAAGGACCTCTGACAAGGGCCTTTGTGATCTGGTTGGGATATATGGGGACAGGTGTTCCCTCAAATATCCTGGCCTCAAGCCATTTTGGGCTTTGTCTGTTAATGCCAATGCTTTGAATTGGGCCCAGATTGCAGCATGCAGCCAATGCAACTGGTGAAGAACCAGCACAGGCTCTTGACGACTGGTCCTTGTTAGCAGCCGCACTGCTTTGTTTTGGGGTAGATGAAGTGTCCAGACCTCCTTCAAAGGCAGTCACAAATAGAACGCATTACAGTAATCCAGGAGAGAGGTTACCAGTGCATGGATGACTGTGGCAAGGCTCCACTCCTCAAAGTAGGAATGTGGCTGAGATCAGCCTGGGCTGATCCCTGTCCACTGAGTTCACCTGTGAAACAAGTGATAACTCTGGTTCCAAGAGCATCCCAAGCTACAAATCTTGTCCTCTAGGGGGAACGTGGCCCTGTACAGGACAGGTTGAAAATTACTCAGTTGGACACATGGTCTGCCCACCAGCAGCACCTAGTTCCCCCTTAGTTCTAGTTCCCAAGTGGCCATGAATCTGAGTGGGTGACTTTTGGCCACTCACTAACTCTCAGTCTAGCCTATCTCACAGGGCTCTGGTGAGGATAAAATGGAGAGAAGGAAGTTTATGTAAGCCATCTTGGGTTTCTTGCAGGAAAAGGCAGGCTCCAAATAATCATGTGAAGAAAATGTGTTTTCCTGACATACTGTGCAATGTCCACAGTCTAGCTGAACAAGAAGAATGTGTGAATGCATGCTAACAATGCCAAAAAACATTTCATTTTTCTTCAACTCCAGAATACCTAGAAATAGTTTTACTGGAATTCATCACCTAGAGTACTTTGCAATAAATAGATATTAGTTATATTTATTGAGGCCTGCTCTTGGTAATGCGTGCCAATGAAACAAAATGTGACACACCTTACTGCTTTATTCCAAGGCTTTACAAGAATAGGCAATCAGGACTGGGTTTTTAAAAGTCAGCATGATTAGCACTTGGATAAATAATAGTTGTATGGGGCATAGTCTCTATGCATACACAGCAAAACAGTGCACTAATGCCATAGACGGTGACACAAATGTATTGAGTAATTCTAGACTGTAGAATCTAGAGCAAACATAATAATAGTGGACAGCAAATGCCAGCTAAGTCACATTCAGCCCAAGTCCTTTAGGAATGTGATTGGATTCCAGCTGACATTTGAAGAGATAGTTACATAAGCAGGTGTGCTCTAGGCCAAAGATGTCCCTCTCCAATATTTTTAGCTAAGGAACTTTTAGTGGTCTACTGAAAAATAGCCACAGCAGCTTGGAAAGAAAGTGCATGAAAGAGTTTGTGTGTCACTACTTAAAATGGGTATCTTTAATGTTCATTAAAATGACTTCTAGGTGCAACTCCAAAGCACACATGCCCTATTCAGTTTCATTCAAAATCTTACCACTTCATTCTTAGTTATCCAGTCTTGTAAAGAGTATTGGATGGAATATGCATATTAGACATGAATGGACTGCTATCCTATTTTTATTCTCAATTTGTTTAGAGGCATAGCCGCTAAAGCCTAAAGACACTTTTATTCTGCCTTTATTTGTTTACTAGACTCAAGGACGCTAACAGTATGCATCATATCAGTGACAATGCAGCAAACCATTTGTAAACAACAAAAGTATTTTTGAAGATGTAATCAACCCATAGAAATAAAGTAGCACAATACGAAAAAGCAGCACACCAAAAGGCTACCAGAAAAGATGGCTTCCACAGCTGGCAGGCCTTGGGAGGGTGTCCTACCACCTTGGTGCCAGTAAGGCTGCAACGCCCTCCTTCTCTACTACACTTCCAGTAAAGGGAGCAAAAAATGGGGAAGTAGTGGCATGGAAGCCTCAGATGAACAAAGTTGAGGCTTTGTAGCAGTTTGACAGCAAAATGTGGTGGCTGTCTGCTGTTTTCCTCTTTGTTTTTTGCCAGTGCTGAGCATGCTGCCTGTGGTGGGACCAGGGAAGGGGAAATTGGCCCCCTGGCAGAGTGAGAGAAGGTGACAGCTGTGCTTTTGTGGGTTCAGAAGTTCTTTTGATACTTGTTGACCCAAAGTTCTGTTATGCCTTTAAAGTTCTTTTTTAAATGAGAAAATGGCTCTGAATAGAGCAAATGACCACAGTAGAAACAGTTCCCCAAAATGTCTGTGGGCATGAATGACTGGGGACAGAGCCAGGAAAGGCTTTGGCTGGCATACTAGCTATACCCACGACCCCCTTGGCTTACATAATTCTTCTCCTGATCTTAATCTTATCCCCACAACAACAACCCTGTAAGGTAGCTTGGGCTGAGAGACTGTGGCTTGCCCAAAGTCACCCAGTTGACTCCATGGCTGAGCAACGACTAGAACTCCTGAGTCCCAGTCCCATGCTCTTAACTACTATACCACACTACTTAACAGCAGAAAGCAACACAGTCAAAGTTGATGATACACCTGCTTTGATGGTATCACCAGAGCCACTAACCTGGTCTTTTCTGGATTACATTTCAGATTGTTTGTCCTCATCCAGTGTAAAACAGTGTAGCCTTTCTCATAGCATTGTTCTGGTTGAACAAGATTTTACAGTCTATTCAGACCAAATATATCAGTCCTACAAAAGCACCATTACATAACCTTTTTAGCTTGATCATCCTCAACCTGGATAACTTTTAAGGGACCCCCCATTCATAAATGGCCCTGTCTCTTCCTACTACAGTTTATTTCCACATTAATTCCTTCTTATTAAATAATACTTATTAAAGCACAGTTGGTTAATTGGCCTAGCATCACAAGCTTAACCAAGGTAGATGTTTGAAAGAGATTTCAGAATGCATTCCTGGTGGATCTCTTTCTGACTGAGGTTTTCTATATATCTGATTGGAAGTTGTTGGTATGCTGTGAACCTAACCTTGTAACTGTGGTATTAAGCAACCATTGAAACAGTCCATTATTTTCAGATACTTAGTCAAGATGGAGTGATGGGGCGGCTCAGAACCCTGCCACTGTAGATAAAGAAATCAACAGATTCAAAAGAGAAAGGAAGGCCAGGCATCTGAGCTGCTCATCATTCTTTTGTCATCATTAATATGGCACATTAGCAAAATGGTGCAACCATATTTTGGTTTTAAATATATTATGAAAAACTCATGGTAGTTTCCGATGACCTTTTGCCTGCTCCAGGGTGACTTGACTTGTGCAACTTTTAAGCAGAATATTTGGTAACTGTAGTTGTATGGAGAGCTGATCTCTGTCTAATGAGGCAAAATCTATGTAAACAGCAGTTTTGGGTATGTATGCAATTTGCTTTAGAACCACTTCTGGGAAAAAAGTGTTGATTTCTGTCTTCACTCCATGTGGTCCTGATGCTTCCTGGGTCCTTCTGTTTGCAATTGTACAAATGTGCATATTAATTGCTTTTATACAACTAATGTCACATCTTGTTTTGCCTAGTGTTGCTTTTCAGTTTTTGTGTCTGAATACTGAACTGTATTGCCTATGAACATGTGGGTCCTCATGTGTTGCTTAGTGCATTGGAGAAATTGTGTGTGTGTTCTCCATTTCCTGGATTGGTGCACATATAATGATCATGATGTTGAAAGGATTGGGAGTTGACTATAGAAACTACCCATTCATTTTTTTTCATTTCCAGTATGAAATCCTCTTCCTTTCTTCTGCTATCTGTAGATTTGGTAATAATAGAGAGTAGATGGGTTCAAATTTTCATGTCTGCCATAAACATTATCTGCATTATTTTAAATAAGGGATTTGTATTTTTGTACAAATGTGTGCACAATATGGAGCTACAGCAAATAATGGTGCCCTGACAGGATCTACAGGATTCACATTTATATGTGCATCCCATTCTGGCTTAGAATGTATCAGGTATGTGATACACCTTAAAACAGTATATATACAAAGTGGCTCTGATTATATGGCCTTGGGCAAATCTGTCTCTCAACCACAATTCCCTTCTTGTCTATTGGAAATAATACTGATGAACCTCACAGAGGTGTTACAAGAGCAAAGCACAGTAAAAATATATTGCCAGTTAAATATGAGTAGTGAGTACTTAATTGGAGTGAATTTGCTCATTTATAATCACTGAACTCGTTTATTGTTTTGGTAGAAATACTGTTATGGTGGCATTTTATATGCTGACTCACTTAATTTCCCTGCCTTCAGGTGATGAAAACATACCACATGTATCATGCTGAGAGCATCAGTGCTGAAAGCAAACTGAAGGAAGCTGAAAAGCAAGAGGAGAAGCAGTTCAACAAAGGAGGTGATATCAGTGTGAATCTGTTGCGGCATGAAGATAGGCCTCAGCGCCGTAGTTCTGTCAAGAAAATTGAGAAGATGAAGGAAAAAGTGAGTGGTGACACAGGTTCCCCACATTATTGGCAGCAGGGCCACTAACTGATCCCAAGAAAAAAGGGGGTGCAAACTGTGTGTCATCAAACTGGTATTGCAAACTGATAGCACCCCTTCCTCAAAGTCCAAGACATGTGGCTAATAATACAGTGTTACCTCGGCTCACGAACGCCTCAGTTCACGACCAAATCGGGTTGCAAACAGAAATTTCAGAAAAAAATTGCCTCAGTTCGTGAACTCCGCATTGGGTGATGACCACGATCGTGGCTGTGTTGCCGCACGAACACAATCATGGCCATCTTCCCTGCAGGAGCATGATCGCAATCGTGACCATCCCCCCCACCCCCGAGCACAATCGCTATTGCACGATTATGGTTTGGATTCTCCCTCCATCAATAATCTCCCCCTCCATACTGTACTGTACTTGGTTACTTTGTTTCCAATTTTCGTGATAAAAAAAATACAGAACGGATTATCCTTATTTACATTGAACCTTATGGGGAAATTTGACTTGGCTTGCAACCAATTTGGGTCATGACCAGAGTCATGGAACAGATTAAGTTTGTGAGCCAAGGTACCACTGTACTTGGTCAGTTCCATATGACAAATATTTCTTTGAATCATTTTGAACTGTTAGGAGTGTTGACTGCTTGCCTTAATAAATCTGCTTGGAATGGACATAGAAAATGCTTCTCTGTCTGCTGCTTGTCATCTGTGGAATAGTGCCCAAAAGACAGCAGGTAGCTAGAGCTTTGAAGCAGACAGGCACCTTTCAGCAAGAAGCGGAGTCTGGGGTTTCATTCCGGTGTACTTTCACAGAGGAGGGTGCATTACATCATCAGATCCTGATGTGTTCAGCCATTAAATTGTCCAACACAAGGCGAGTTGAAAAGGGCAGCTAGAGAGAGGGAAGGTCTCCAGAGAGTGATGGCTCAGAAAATAAACAAAGCAAAGAAAAGCAAAACAAACGTGGCTGAGACATCAAGTGCAAAAAGGCCAGCAAATGAAATACTCCTACAATAGCTACTCTGGGCAAGTCTATCCAAGAGGCTTTGATGGCTGCTGTGGAAGGGTGTTTAGGTTTAAATTGCTATTTGCGATTGTAATACATACCCTTCTGGAACAACAGGGCTGCCTGAAATGCAAGGTTGTGGTCAGGTCTTGGACCATGTCCACTGTTTTGTAAAACATTGCACTGTGGATTTACAGGATCCCCACCCCCACCCCGTGTCAGAGCATGGTATGGTTCATAATACATTGGGGTATAGAAGAACTGGGGTGAGCACTCAGCCACTGTACTTATGTACTCCCTGCATGCCTTCATACTAGCTTAGATAGTCAGATGGGAAGTGTTGTGTTGTTTATTGACAAGCATCGGAAATGCAGTAGGGTGATAATGTTCTGAAGATGCTGTGAATTATTTCTGATGACCCAGCAGCTTTAGACATTGTTCAAAGACGTGGTGCAAATGTATTTTTTCTGATCTCCTAAGCATGGAAATTAGGAGGCAAGGGATGTACCACATATGAACATAAGAAGAGCCATAATGGATCAGACCAAGGGTCCATCTAGCCCAACATTCTTCCACATAGTGGCTGCCAGTTGTGCACAGGATCTCATAAGCATGGTCTCCTTTTGCTGAGGAACTCCTGGCCAAGTTCTTCAGCAGCTGGTATACAGAGGCGTCCTGCCTCTGATACTAGAGGTAGCATACAGACAACAAGATGAGTAGCCATTGATAGCCTTTCCCTCCATGAATTTGTCCAGTCCCCTTGCCACATCTCATGGAAGTGAATTCCATAGTTTAACTGTATGCTGCACTTTCTTTTATTGGCTTCAGTTCCCCTACCAATGAGCTTCCTGGGATGATTTCAGGTTTCTAGTAGATGACCTCTAGTATTATGGCAAAGGAAGAAAAAATATTACATGACTTCTAGTACTATGGCAGAGGGAGAAACAAGAGTCCTGCTCCTTTGTCTCCTTATCTTGCATAATTTTGTACACTTCTGTCATGTTTCCTTTACCTTTCTTTTTTCCTAAGCTCAACAGGCAGAGATATTGTAAACTTTTCTCACAGGGGAGTTTCTCCAGCCCATTGATCATTTAAGTTGCCCTTTTCTGCACATTTTCCAGCCTTATAATATCCTTTTCTTAAGGTTTGGTGATGAGAACTCATTTGCTTTCCCCTCCTTACCCATTTTGTGCAAAATTTCCCCATCCATCTCTTTTCAGAGTCAGCGGGGTTTAGCTTTAAATAGAGTTTGGAAATCTACTTTAAACTGTTTTTTGAAATTGTGTCATGATTTGCTCAAGGAAGGGCTAGACTGTGCACAAGAAATGAAGTGGTGGATCGAAACATGCCTTTTATTCTTAACACTGCTTCTCATTTGCTCAAGAAACTTATAACTTTGGAACAGAAAGAGATAGATTTGCATGAATAAGTGCATTCTGCAATTTAGCCCCAATATCACCCTTGCAGCACAGGTTTGTCCGTACATGGACCTCCAAGCCTTAAAAGTATCCATCTCCTTGCCCTTTTGGCCCAGTGCTTGCATTTTGCAAGTAGAGAAGGAAGATTTCAATACTGAAAAGAGGAAAGTGGAATTGTACCATATTATTCCATATGAAACATCTTCTCCTTTAAATCTCTTACTGCTTTTGAATTAAAAGTGGGCCCAAAAAAAGACTTGAAAAGATGTCATATGAATAGGAGGTTTCTGAAGAGAGACCCTAAGGGCTCTTGAAGGCAAATGGAGCCCTGAAAAGGGTGGGATGTGTGCATTGCTAGGAGAAAATATTCAGAGTCCTGTTCAAGGCAGAGAGGAATAGCTAACAGGTAACAGCCAGCCTCTGTGATAAATTATAGTGGTGAGCAAAAATGCCCTCTATTTATTTACTGCTATGAAGGAGGTAGCTCACATTTATTACGGATAGTTTAATGTTTCTTTGAAGAACAATGGCTTTGTTAGCACAAAACAATAAGCCAGGTCTGCAGAGAATCCTGGTTTGTTGGGAATTAGTTGTGTGCTGGTGCATGCACTTACAGTATTTATGCTCACTTCCCTGCTTTCTGCTACTAAACAAAGCAGGAAGGGTTGCTTGTCATCCAAACCAAGAATCCTGGCTTGTTGATTCCAAGTAAGGCAGGAATCATAACCAGATCTATCAGTTTTCTGATGATGGTTTCTAAGGTAATCAAGAATGCGCAGAAGGTGTATTTCCAGATGTTTTTGGCCTTGGCATTCAGAAGCCACTGCCAGCATAGCCAGTGATCAGAAATGCTGGGAATTCAAGTCAAAAACATCTGGAGTTCTACTTTCTGTCCATTCCTGTACTAGGCAAACATCACTGAACATGGTACAAAGGAAGAGCAACGAAGAGTGAACAGCTGCATGTTTGTTCATGTGAGGCAGGATATCTGGAACCTTGCCTTATTACTTGTGTACATAGTCTTTGTGGCTTCTAATGGCACTGTTTTTTGTATTCCTGCTCCTTGGCTGCACTCAGTTGGCAAATTCAAAGATATTTCTTGCCATACTCCCTCAAAATAGTTGCATGGTTACAAAATTGGGCATATTGTACCTAGGCAGGGCTTAGAAGGCATAACTCACATTGGGAGTCTGCTCTAATGTAATTGACTGAACGTAGCTCTGGACTTTCTAATGTTGAGTAAAAGAATGAGTGGACTTATTTATCCTTTGTCTCAGTGAAAGGCCACATTTCTGCTGGCAGAGTACAAATACTTTGGCTCATCTAGTCACCTTAACCTTACATAAAGGGAATGGCAGGTGGTGGCCAGAAGGTTTCATCTGTTTCCCAGAATTCCCTTGATCCACTGCATTTCCATTTATTATACCCTTTTCCCAAGTTTGTCACAGGCAGAGATTTCGATTACACTGGAGGAGGATAGCATAATTTTTATCCTGTCATGCCCTCAGCTACTTCTACTCATGTTTGCACTTGCACATGAATGCTGGTTTTTGCACTGAGAGATAAATATCTTTGTGTATGTTTCTGGCTTGTGCAGGAGTAGTTCAGTGAGTGCAGCCAATGCTTCTGGCCCTTCCACTCTTGCCTAACTGAAAAAACAGTTCTTATCAAAATGCAGTTGCCATGCAAGGCTAGATAGTGTGGTCACATATTCCCTGTTTTACTTATGCTGAGTACTGTTCTTGAACAGATTGTTCATAAGCACATTTAGTTACTTCTGCGGACACTGATACCCACCCCGCATCAAAGGATCCAGATCTTTGTGGCTCTCCTCCTTTCTGAGACTCTGTACATCTGAACCCTGCTGTCTGTTGCAGATTTACCGTACTGAAATACATTTTTTGGTTTGCAGTTGTAAATGTAAATGTTACACCTTGCTATTCAGCAAAGGTGTTTGATCTCTCCACCATGTTATTCTGCAGTGCACAAAACTTCCTTTCATTTCCCACTTGGCACTATGAGTGGTAATCTGGAGATTTGATAGAGCTAGTGACTGCTGTGCCATGTAGCCATTTGTATGTACTACAGATTCACTTTCTCTGAGATCCTCTCAGTACCGAGGGTTGTATTTAGGATGCTTGAATTACCCTTCAGAAAGGATGCATAGAGGAGTGGCACTGAATTGTATCCTAACTCTGCATTAAAAAGTCTGACATCATTGTCTATGGTTTTGAAAAAGCTTGTACCCCACTAACTGTTTAATGTGATTGATGCCAAGCCTTTCTACAAGGTACTAAGTGTGCAAGCCATTCCTCATGCATGTAGAATATACAATGAATTAGAATGCCCTTGCTGTTCTGCTAACTCTGTAGGGCATATTTAGAAGAAATTTCTGCTCCTGACTAAATCTTCCTCATTTTACCCTTCATATTAGTGAAGGCATTTTGTTGCATAAGTGCATCAATTCTGTACAGTGCTGCCTCCGATGGAGGATAAGACTATCAATGGCTGCTAATTATGATGAGTATGACCTACCTCTGGGAACTCAGGCAACTTCCAAATACCAGTTGCTAGGGAACAGTGGTGAGAAAGGCTTATGTGTCTGGTTGGTCACTGTGGGAAACAGGTTGGACTGCATAGGCCTTTCGTCTGATCCAGCAGAACTGCTCTTAAGCCATTCTTATTTATATGAAAATGATAAAAATTATGCTGTTTCACTGTGAACTTTGAAGAAATATAAACATTCAGATCACATGTTTATGTTGATTTGGATACATGTATCGTTTTAATGTTTTTCAGAGGCAAGCAAAGTACTCCGAAAATAAGTTGAAATGCACCAAAGCTAGGAATGACTATCTGCTGAACTTAGCAGCCACAAACGCAGCAGTCAGTAAATACTACATTCATGATGTCTCCGACCTGATTGACGTGAGTTCTTGAGTGATTTTCTTTTTCTTAATGTACAGATACCCAAGCTGGCCACTGTGTCTGTTTGGTTCTGTGGAGATGTCTATACTTACTTCTGCAGTGCTCCAGTATAAATTCATGACCTATGCTAGTACTTTAAGTATATAAAGAGCGTTGTGAAATGTCAAGTATAATTTTTGGATTCCTGCTTGTGTCTTGATCAATGTCATCATATATGTCTTACAACAAACATTTTATATAAGGTATGTGTTTGTACTTGCACATGTGTGCATAGAAACAGTGTTTATCCTACCATATGTGTTCATAGAAACAGTATTTATCCTACGGTATCATCCAGTGAATAGTGTTTCATGCACCGTTGAATCTGGAGATGTGCTCTGTGCTGAATCTCATTGGAAGGAGCTGTGCATGGATACAAGATGAAGCTGACTCAAGTAGTTCTCTAGTGAGAAGACAAAGCAAGGCAGAGACTGAGTCAGGCAGTAGGAACTGCAGCCAGACATGAGCTGAGCCAAGTGAAAGCATGGTCCAAATAGAAATAGGAAGAGGTGCTAAACTTTCTGCACTGGGCAGGGGCTAAATTAGGAAGCAGGAAGCTTTGTGGGGTCAGTCATGAGGGCTGGCCAATTTGGAAGGATCAAGAAGCAATGGTTTTTATTTTGCCTTATAATGGGTATCTCAGCTCAACCCAAAGCAGCAAACAGAATGTTTAGGGTATTTTGCAGGGTTCATGCATATTGAACTCCTTTTTGAAACTACGTTGTAGAGTGTTGAGATCAGAGATGAGGAACATCAAACCAGACAGCTTAACCTGACCCTCCTGCAGTTTCAAGTATTCCCTTCCCATTTCCCCCAGTTACCAATCCTTCTCTGGCTTTTGTGCAGTTTTTCCCCATTCTTAAAAGCTGACATGCCATTTGTAAGCCTTAGTTACTGGCAGTTGTTCAAGACTTGCTTGTTCACAAGGTGGGAGCAAATAATCATCGAAAATGAAAGTATTAGAACAGGTTCTTATCTGCCAATGATTCTGCCTTCATTGATTTGCCCCTCAGGTTTCCTATATTTTGGAGTGACCTTTTTTCCTCCATGGAGTTGGGGCTCTGGATTCCTGAAGAGTTGCTGAATGCCAATTGAGATCTAGCTGTGCTGATGTCATTCTTCCCTAGTTTATTTCCTTTTTGGTACCTCCACTGGAGTTAGCAGATGGCTTTACTTCCTCACTCCAGGAAATCCCTTTAGGGTTGTTAACCCAAAACATCTTTGATTCAGTACAACTAAATTTGTCTAATTATATATTCTTCTTGCTTGAGAAAACAAAGCATTATTAAGCATGCATGAGTTGTATATGTGTGTCCTAATTTCAGGTTCCCCAGGAGAAGAACTGTTTGTTTGAACAGGTTTCCGTACATGTTGAATATATTTCAGAAGGGCACTGTAGGGCGGCATATTCTATGATAAACAGAGTAAGCTCATTTCCCTAGATAGCTGATAAAGACATCTTTTAAAACCAAGCTTTAGACCCCACTGTGTCTAATAAACATATATATATATATATATATTCTATACAGACCAAAACTTACATGTGTAGAATAGAGATAGGATAAATACTCACACTTATTTGTGATCAGAAGTGCAATTTTAATAAAAATATTTTGAATAACTGTGGCAATAGTTGTGACCCCTTAAGGTTGAGAAAGGAAGGAATGGGAGCCAGAGAGAGAAGGGGGACTAAAAAAAGAAAAAGGAAATCTAAGTAGAAAGAGAAGAAATCAGAGAAAATGAAAAATATCCAGAGTGATAATACATATGTAGGGTGTACATTAATGCATACACACGGGGATGCGGGTGTTGCTAGCATTTTTGTGATTGGCACCCCACACCCCTAGAACAGTCAGTATGTGGTGGTGCTCAGAGCCCTTTTTCAAAATGTCAGATGTGCCCATAGACCTGGAATCAATCCTGTCTTAAAGACTTTGTAGACCAGAGCCTCCTCCATTACATCCGGGAAATGCAATCATAAATTAGGAGTGTGCACACATGGTTTTGTGAGGAGGAGGTACTGTGTGTGCCTGCTTGCTAATTTAGAATTAAACTCTAAGGAAGTGGGCTCTGGACCACAAGCGCTTAGGCTGTAATGCCTTTCTTGATCTAAAGTGCCACATCGTTTAGTTTTTGCTACAGGAAACTAACACAGCTACCCCTCTGCAAAATGACTACAGGAGGGCCCGCTCCGAACAGCAGGGTGGTGCCTTTCCTTTAGTATGATATATTGTACATCTCTAACCGCAGAGCTCCCCTAGCTTTGGAGTCATTTAGATAAAGTCAACAGCTTGGCAATAAAAAAGAATAAACTGCTTCTATCATGGGAAATTAGGCTCACTCAATAGACTGAGTACAGTTTTGAGGCACAGCTTTTATGCTCCATTCCTCTCTGTCTTTGCCACTTCCTGCTGAGAAGACCTTTTTTTTTTATAATGCCACTGGCAATTTTAAGCACTTGAACCATTTGCTTCCCCTGTAGCTTCTGAGGGGAATGCTTCCAATCAGGAATAACTAGGCAAAGATCCTCAGCCCCGTTGGTTGTCAGAAGCTCCTGGCTGCAGAAAAGCAAAATGTCAACAAATTTCAGGCCACACAGGCGCATGTGTGTTTGAGCATTATTGTAGACTGACAACTGGTAAATGGCACGAATCGTATCTTGAAAATGGAAAACAAGAAAAACAAGGTTCGTGGGGAGACAGTTGTAGTTCCTCAGGATCCCTGTTCCCTCTACCTGGTTTAATACTGGTTTTGATTCACTTGATTACTAAGAGTTTTATCTGTTACTTTTCTTATGGTGACTGAAATGTATATGCTGACCTAATACTTGTTGTCAGTTTGGTCCTGTATACATTTGGTCAAGATGGGGCAGTGTGGGAGGCAGGAGTAGTGATTGATTGAATTAAGCTCAGTATGGGTTTGTGTAAATTAGCCCTCACAATTGGTTGGCTTGCACAGTCACCGGTTCCATTGGCAGGCCATGGTGACATCTCAGCCATGTTGTATATGCCAGGCCCATGATGCCCAAGTTACTTATTTTCCCTCATTGGTACAGCTGGCGGTATCATCTGAACCCGGCAAGGTTGGGTTGCTACCATGCTAATCAAACTGCTTACAGAACCCTAAATAGCTCATGGGTTCAGAGTGATAGGTTAACCATGCCATGCCACCTACTCTAGTTGAATTTGTGTGACACAGAAAGTTGTGGAACCTGGTGATTGTTTTTGAATCCATTCACTGTCCAACAGTCATTAAAAGTTCATGTAACCTAGTCTTTAACTAAATGCCCCACATGCTGTTGTTTTGTTTTTTAAACTAAATTTACAGGCAACTCCTACATTCACTTGAAAAAGTTGACATTTGGTTTGTGGTTTTGAAAATTACCCAAAACGGAAGCTCGTGTGGCTGAGGGAGTCTTTCTTGATGTGGGGAGTTTAGTCTACTGGCCTGGTCTGGCTGTAAAACGATATCCTTTTAATTAGATATTCCTGGGCCTTCTCAGATGAGGAAGTATGTGGTTAGGCTGTTCTGTCGCTATTTTAAACTGTGGTAATGAGGGCTAAACTTGGTAGGAACAGATGGCCGCACCCACTGAGAAGCACAAAAGTGTGTGTGTTGTGGAGGGGCTATCCATGGAGGCAAGATAAAACAGATTTACTGAACTTAAAACTTGAAAAATCCTTTAAAATCCACTGATGCATAAAACTTACAAGGTATTTTAAAAATCTTACATGTGTGGAGTTTGAGCACCAGTGTCCTTCAGGGGTACTTAGGTAAATATGGCACATAGTTAACCCCACCATTTGAACAATGACATGAATTAATCTTCACACGTACAATTGCTAAAAGGTGAGAGAAGGGGTATAGGAACAGGGAGCTTGTGAACCATGAAAGAAACTGATCAAAGTGGAGCATGTGTGGGGAGATGGGAAGAGGCTGCATGTTAGTGCTAAGTTTGACACTACATGTAAAACAGCCTCTGATCAATGTTGCTTTAGTAAGCATCTTTTTAAATCTATGGGGTGTGTGTGTGATTTCTATACCACCCATTAACTGGAATGGCTCTCTGGGTGGTTCACAAAACAGCTTTCAGATCTAATATGACAGTTGACTGACAATAGAAGGACCTGGCTTGGACATGACCCCATAGTTTAGTTTAGCACCATGTGATCAAATCTGCTTCACCTCAAGCCCTCCTCTGTATAATCTCGGCATATCCCAGAGAATGAAGTGAAATTGGAAACATTTCACTCTGCCTCGTAGTTTTAAGTTAACTGCAGTTGATTGTTACGTCTGGCAAGTTCATACTGTGGTTTGGTTATGCTGTGGCAGCATTGGAACAAGCCAGGATCAAACCCATTTCCAGTCTGCGTTCGTTGCAATAAGCCTTAGCTTGAACTAGCTGCAGTTTATGTAACATACATAGCAGATTCTTCTAGTCTCCCACAGTGACAGTGGAGGGGTGGGGGAAAGAGTAGTAACATAGTATGAATAACCTCCCAATGAAGGTTGTGAGTGTGAAGTGTGAACCTGGACAATGGGTTTTTTAAGGACTAAACAACCCTTTGGTTAATCCAATAAACCATGGGTTAACACTGGGAGGTTTATTCCCTAAACAGCCAATTAGTCCAGGTTCCTGCTGAAAACCTGGAAATTGTACTGTTTATGGAAACTGAAAGTAGCTTGTAGACCGCAAACATAACCCACAATTTGTAGTTATTAGAGAGCATAATGCTAATGGGCAACTTTCAAACAAATTCAATAAATAAATAAATATTACACATAAACACAGTCACTGAGTCATGGATGCAGCATCACACTTCCATTGGGGCTTCAGGGGAAAGGCCTAATAAAATGCTCAGAAGTTAATTTGTCTCCCTCAGGAGAATATCATGAGAATAAGGAAAGTGCCCCATATTCAGAATATGCTAACACATTTAAAAATAAAGCCAATGCAGATG